TTCTTTCTTTAAAGAATATAATTATAAAATTATTTGTTCCAAGTAAAGTAAGAAGGAGAAATTAGAAAACGGAAAAGAAGGGGGGAAAAACGGAAGAAACAAACGAAGAGTTGATATATAACTCGGTTTCTTTCTTAGTGCCCTCTTCTCTACCGTTTCTCGTCCGTTTAGCGACATTGTTGAAAGGTTAATGGCCAATTGCCTGAAGAAGTCGACATCAGAGCATACCTGCCCCTTCCTTCCCTTATGAGAGTCGCAGAACCGTTTTTCCACGAGGACGAAAAACACCGCGAGAGCAGGCTACGTGACTGTTGTGACTCTTGACGAACTCTCTCTCTCCCTCTCCCTTCCTCTCTTTCTCTCTCTCTCTCTCTCTCTCTCTCTCTCTCTCTCTCTCTCTCTCTCTCTCTCTCGTCGCTAGTTAATTCATTCCCGGCACGTTTGAATTGAGGACGTAACAACCTGTGTATAAGGACCGCGAAAAGAAGTGCGAACGAGAGGGAAAGTGGTTTACGCTCTTGCGCGAGATAAAGTACACCGATACCTCCGATGTTTCTTCTATACATTATACGAAAAATATTTGTTGGATTTATCAAATTTTGATGGATTTTTTTGAGAAAATTTAAATTTTTATTTGAAGTTGGGAGGATTTTTTTTCAAATTAAAAAATATTTATTTTTAAAAGCATTCATTCGTGTAAAAGTGTATCGTATGTAAATAGAAAAATTATCATAATTTTTATTGAATGGAAAATTTTTTTAAAATTAAAATTATCTTAATTTTAAAAGTATGGATTTTATATGTCTTTTATATTTCTCATAATGCAGAGAAGAAATTTATTACTTTTAATTTCGACAAAAAGCTTTATTATTACGTATAATTTATTAATTTAAAATATTTCTCGTGATCCATTTTTCAAATCTGCTTTTAAAACATTTTTTAAAGATTTGAATTATATATTGAAAAAATAATGAAATTTCTTCTCAATTCTTCCTCCCTAATATTTATGAAACTAATCTTTTTCTTTAAATGTACAAAACCGAACAAAAAACTGCATCATTATTATTATTTTAACCCATATGTAATTAAAGATAAAAAATTATTTAATTAAAATTACTTAAATTTATTTCATTAATATTTTCATTAACCACTAAAAAAATATTTGTTCGTTACATATATATAAAATTGTGTACTTTTTATAAGAGAAAGTCAAATTTTTATTATCAAAAAAAAAAAGAGCTTAAATAAATATTTACTTTATTCCTCAAATATTATTATCCACACTATACTTTGTCTTTTTTCACATATCATCTGCATTATTTAAATTTTTAATTTTTAATTTTTAATACGTATAGTTAAATAATTTTTAGATGTATAAATGTAATATAATGTCTGAATCTGATATTTTCGTTCCACCTCGAATTTATATGTCAACACCTCGTAGAACAATCGAAAATTGAACGTGTTGATCTCAGAACAGATCGAATCCTTCTTCCGCGTTGACAACATGATCTCGCGTCCCAGCGGAGTGGAGAAACTGTGAGGGATAGGTGGAAAGGGATTATACTCACAGCTCTGAGGAATATTCGAAACCCTGTCTTTCCAGAAGTTGAATCGACCAAGATTTTCGTTCTCGGGCTTTCACTGTTGAGATATGTTCGAGAAAAATTCATATTCGTGGGTATAATGCCTCTGCATAATGGAAAATGTCATAGTTGTCATTAAAAAGAAATTTTCCAAGCCTTCCTTCAAATTTAATTACAATTGATCACAGAAGTGAAGGGCATGGAGATTTCGAAATTTCTTAATACTTGAATACTTGCAGTTTATAAATGAAATTTTTCGCGTTTAATTTAAATTTATAGATAAAGAGAATTTATAAATATGATATTTTATCGAGACGTAAAAATTGAATCCAAGAAGACTTCAGAAGTATTAATGAAAATAGAAATCGTGAAAGAGGTATGAAAGGCTCGAAGAAGCGAGACAAATTTGGAACAAAATTGGAAGATCGAAGAATTCTATTGGATTAAGAAAACTAGACGTGACTAAACTTTTATTTGGAGAAACGGGGTGTCACATGTATTGACCTATAATAAAGATAACGAAATACCGAAAGTTCACGTTATATAGCGGTGGCCAGCTGGCAAAAATTCTCAGAGATATCGATACCATTACCATTTCCGTAACCCAAAGTCGTATCGAAATGGAACACTCTTTGATACGAGCCTCTGGAGGTACGTAGTCGCTCTTATAGCCATCCAATATTTTCTATCTTTGTCTGTTCCCCAAGGTAGTCAGACCGTTTGTCACCGATTGCAAAGAAATATCGAGAAACGATACTAAAAATCTCGAGAATCTAAGCTTTTAAAATGGTGGTGATCGAGTCATTTCCGGTTTCATATGCGGGAATGAAAACGCCTCCAGAAATTAATTATACGAAAACTTAACGGACATTCTACATTTCAAGTAGATGAAATTCCAACGAGTTGGTCTCAGAGACGAGAACGTTTCAAATCGATTTGAAAGTAAAAATTCTAATATGTCAAAGTTCTTAAATTATATTAGACAACTTTAAAAAGTTCTACATATCGAAATTAAAAATAAAAGTTTAAAAATATAAAAAAATATCGGTCACAGTTTATTATAAGTTGATATTAGAGCCTGTACGTAAGCAACCAGTTTAACCGATTAATTTCTTGATACGAAGACAAAGAGATTCCAAACAATTTGAAAGTAAAAATTCTGATATATCGAAATTTTTAGATTATATCAGCTACAACAGTTTTTAAAAGTTAATTCTATCGAAATTAATTGAAATTAATGTAAAAATTAGATTATAAAAATATCGATTGCAATTTATTGTAAATTGATGCTAGAAACGCCTGTACGTAGGCAACCGGCAACCTGGCCGGTCAGTTTCTAACGAGTAGTTAAGTCTGAAATAAAGTAGACATTGCGTCGTATCTATCCAGCCAATCGACGAATATCGAAATTTGAATGATTTCTACATTCCCTGAATTCATGCTTATTTATGTGAAACCACGTGATAATTTCATCAAGACGTGTTCTCTCATTACGTGTATGTGTTGCTATAATTCAATTCAGGTTCCAGACACAGGCATGTCCACATCCATGGATCTTGAGAATCTGAGATATGCTATCGGTTAATGGGTCAATGCCGTGGGCATTTACACTTGGTTTAACCCTTTTGCAACGGTTTATTCATCCTCGGTGACCTTTGACCACCGCCGATGAACCGACAATTTTTTCCTCGCCATCGAGGAAACTCTCAATCTTTCGAAGAAAATACTTTTTGAATATATTTCATAGAAATGAAATTGCACATTGTCGATTATTTCATTAAAAATATGGAAGATACGATTTCGATGTCTATTCCGATAGAATTCTTTTATTCTATTCCATTAATTTTTTCGCTCAGACTCGACGCATATGACTTTTCGATTGTATTGTTCGTTGTTGGAAAGAAGCAAAGAAATGCGATTATACAAATATATTGAGATTATATAAAAGACTATAACAGATAAGAAAAAATATTATTTGAAATAAAATTATTATTTAAATTAATTTTATTCGAAACTTAATTAATTAATTAATTTTTCAATAATTCCTTAATATTTAACTCTGAGTTTCACTCTGTCATTTCATATCTTTTGACATGTATTATAATTATTAACTAAAGATAGTCACAAAGATTGACGATGGATATATCATTATCGTAGATAAAGTGAAATAGAACGATAACTTTACAACATTAATCAAAGAAATTTTGTTTATAAATTTTGCTTGTTTATAATTGACACTAATAGAAACGGTGTAATTATTCTATTTCACTCTGTTTCGATATATCTATCGTCGATCTTTGTCACTTTCTTCGACCAATAATAACAATACTGATGGCAGGAGAGGGGGAATGGAGTGTATACTTTGCCTAGTCATGTTCCTACGAACGCACAGTACACATCACATTTTCAATTCGAGAAACGAGGAAAAATATATGATCGCAAAAAAGTCGGTCGTGTGCACTTTAAGTTTAAAGGAAGGCCAATTAACGTTCGGTTACTTCACACGTGTACCGTGAATCCAAACAAACGCGATAAAAGGCACAGAAACAGATATCGTAAAATACACGTTTCTCATCCAATTATATTAATTAAATATCCCTCGACGAGGTAGAAAAGTGAACAACAACGATACAACAATGTTCCGTCAACGATATTTGCGAATAATTTGCAAAAATCGTTTCTCCTTATTTATCATCTATTTCATTAACGAGTATAATTATAATTATATTTATTCTTGTCGCGTATATTGATATTTATCGCGTTTGGAATTAAATATTATCATTTTAATAATTTGAAGCTTGCAAATGTAAGCGATGTTGTTTTGTTGTTTATTAAAAATTCAACGCACTCGCCACACGTGACTGCTCGATTCTATCATCATCGAATAAACATCGAATAATCGTTGTTTCATCAATTGTATAAATAAGGATGCAAAAGTCAATAGACAAGATGTAAGTAATCATTTTACACAGGCTTATAGTATGTCCACTTTTCGACGGCCTCCGCGTGTATCAAAAGGGTTAAACCGTGTAACGAAGCGGAATCTACCATGGTCATCGCGAGTAATCTCGTTATACGGAGGTAACTTTTATCTCTCTACACTTGCCGCGGTTACGTAAAGTTATTAGCTTGACCTATTTCCGCAACGAGGAGAAACAGAGAGAGAGGAAGGAGAGAAGGGAAGTACGAAAGAGCACGCACTCGGAGAAAATCCCATAAATTCTTATGCAAAACGTCGTTGAATCGATTCGTCTCCATTTCCTCTTCTCGCTTTCCTCCTCTCGCTCTCTGTTTCCCTCCGGTTCATCTATCTGTGCGCAGTGAATCGACGAAGGAAAAGACTCGTTATTCGGTGGAATGATCGATCGATTGGAAAAAGAAACCAAGCAAAAGTCTCGTGTAGCAGTTACTCACGTTGACTGCTGCTCCGTCGTATGATGTTCTCGAGGAATGTGTTTTGCGGGGCGACCAGGCCCCTGCGCCCCCCTGGCATCCTTTCTTCCTTGAATGATCCCGGATCCTGGTCGCTGCGGCTATCAGGATCTCGTCCAGCCTCTGGCTACGACGAACACGTGCTGTTTCCCTCGCCTCATGTCCAACAACGACAACCTTCTTTCATCGATCACCCCCTTCTTCTTTCCCCTCTTTCCTTCTATCTTTCTTCTTTTATCTACTACGCTGCACAAATGCACACGCGCAACAACGTGGGGATGCACACGATCACTAACTGAATGTCATGATCCGAGGATAGTTCACCATTGTGGTATCGGCCGTAATATCACTTGTCGGCGGTTTCACATCCGCCTGGAACTGGTCCAAACGAGAACAACCGCTGTGGCGATCTGCTTTATCCCTTACCAAACACACACTGTGGTATTATCAAACGTCAACCAATTGTCCCGTGCACATTCGCGTTAATCCTTGCCGAGTTAGTTCGCACGATCTATAGTGTGACGGATCTTCAAACTCGTGACTCCACAGTCCTTCGATCTTCCACGATCGGACAGATAGAAGCTTTCACGATTCTCTAGCGCGATGTCCAGTGTTTTCTCTCTTTCTCTCTCTCTCTCTCTCTCTCTCTATATATATATATATATATATATACATATACGTATATAATACAAAATACACGAATCAGATTGGAAAGAAAAATGAGAAGGGGAAGAAAAAGAACAAAGAAAGAGAAAAATACAAGAAAGAAGAAATACAATGGGTAAAACGCGAATTATCCAGAATGAATCTCGGACGATTTCAGGATCCTCCTGGTTGCAACCTAGACGTCTCTATCGTCACCTGAACACGAACGGTCCTCCGTTGGTCCAACGACCAGCGTTCACACACCTCCTCCAGCTTGTCGCGTGCCCCAGCTCCGCGTCCTTCGTGGATGTGGCCAGTGATGAGGGAGAAGCTGGTGTTGGGCCGTGGATCTTCGTCGTGGACGAATGAACGGGTGGCGGCCGTGAAGAAGGGGATACGAATGAGGAGGTGGAGGGGGGCGATGATCCGGATTTATCGAGGCACCGACCACGACAACGATGGGCTCGCGGAAGTGTCCTCGGCTGGTGGACGCACGATCGATGACCCATCTAACCGCAGTCCTTCCAGGTGATCGCGCGCGCTATCACGGATACCCGACGGCAAGTAATTAGACGACTGCGCGCTACCTGCCACCTCGTTCTCCACATCCTCGGCGTCCTCCTCGGCGTCGGTGCAGCTCGTGCCCGCGGAGGAGGACATCCCTTAAACAGGGGAACGTAGTCGGACAAGAATTGTCGATCACATCTTCATCGTCCGATTTCAGGATCGAAGCGATCTTCTTCCTTGTATCGTGGATCTTCCTATAGCGTGTCAAGTTCGAGGATGATTCCGATGATTAAAATTGGGAAAATTAGAATATCGATAGTTTTCTTGGGCGAAGAAAATCTGCAATGAAAGAAAATAAACGATATTATTATTCTGTTTAAAAAAAAAAATACGATTATTATTGGAAGAATGTTAGAATGTAGTATGAGTTTGTATTTACACGAAACAGCGATCTACGCGAAGGAGTTAATGAAAAAATGCATCCATGTTGTTTCTCGAGCTTTCAGAAAGATGAGAATAATTGGGTCGGAAGTATTTGATCGACGATAAAATTCTGTCCAGATACTGCACCACCATCGTGAAACGTTTTAATGGTTGTCACACTCGAAACGAACATAATAGGAAGGTTCTGTTTCTCTACTTTTTTTTTTTATTCGATAATAAAATCCAACACGAAGAAAATGACATATAACGAAGTAATCCACGGAAGAAAAACTGTAGAAAGTTTCAAATAACGAATTAATTTTATATAGCCTATGTATCGATATGACGCGTTTGTTAAAAAATCTCAAATTCTTAACCTATTTCTTTTTTATAATAATACGTAATATTTGGTAACAAAATGCAAGAAAAATATATATTTCCGATTGAAAAGAGATATAATATAAAATTTTTTTCAATCAGCATCCTTTAATGATGTAACGTTTATTCACCGATCATTTTCGAAGCTAAAACGTTTTTCGAGTGCATACTCTCGAATCGATCGTACTTCCGAAATATTGAAGGTTTGTGGCCCGCTATTTTCAGGTTAAAGTGTTGAATCTTAAAGTTGAAAATTACTACGATACCTTCGAATTATCGAATTTTAACAGTGATGTGGCTTTCGTAAACGATAATTACGTCGAATTGTTTCACGGCAATTGCTCTCCTTTATTTTCACAAGTAAACACATTCACACAGCACGAACGTCACCTTGTCCTGCCCGCCATAATTAGTAATACTTGACAGACAGTGGCGCCACTGTCCGATTATCGATCAAGTATCGATAAGTTACGAACCATCGCTGACCGAGATAGATTCTAGTAAGTTTGATCTAACCTTAATGTGTAACACGCATAGAAAAATTATTTAAAAAAAGTGTGTAATATTAAAAGTGTGTAATATATATAATTAAATTAGTACAATCACATTTAACATTCTTTCATTCTTTTCTTTTATTATTATTATATTAAAACGTCATCTTGAAATTTTTAACGATATTATATATCAACTTGACAAACACCAATTGAGATTGAAATAAACGACAGTAGTCTTACTACTTGTTATTGAAACGAGTGTTTCAAAGTGTTTCTATTTCTATCGAATGTCAATACAATCAAAGATTGAAAATAGAAAAGCTGATGCAGGAGCAAGTGATTTTTCTCGAAAACGAACATTCCTTTAATGTTTCGCGAACAATTGCAAGATATATATCGACTGCAACTTAGCAAATTCGAAGGAAGGATTTTTCAATCGTATCTCAGTTCGAATGAAATTCGAACAGGCTCTCGCTCTCGGTCCACTCGAGGGAAAGATTACTTTTCCTCTTTTCGCGTCGCTGTCGCCATACTGGATCCTTGCTCGGTATCCTTTGTTCTTTCAATCCTCCTGTCATTGAGAATATCGATAGGACTCGTTTCGAAAATTGTTTCTATTAATATCTTCTCATACATTTTTCTTTCTATCCCTTTTGTTTCCAAAAATAATTTCTTATTCGTAAAATAATATTACTCGTTATTATTACAGAATTTGTAATTCGATTATTCATCTAACATTAAAAATTTTCTTTGTTCCAGTACTCGAATCGAAATTAACCTAATCCACCATTAAATAAATAAACTGAGAACACGGCGGAGAGTGTCTATTCTCCATCGAATGACGAAAAAAAAAGCAATAAAGAAGACAAAGACAATAAAGAAGACAAAGTGTCTCTAAGGTGGCTCGATCGCCTAAAAGCAACTATTCTACACGTTTTTCAAGAATGGGTAGCCGTCCCCATGGGTTTTGTCCGCGAGCAAAGAAAGCATCGAAGTAAAGAGAATCGATGATACCCTACCACAGAAGCAAGTTGTACGATCAGCCTGCAAGTAACCCGAGATAAGAATAAGGATCGTCCAGAGAATTGGTGAAACTATACGATTTTTATTCCTCCAAGATTCGCTCTCCTAATCCCTTTCTTAATTTTTATTCCATCTTTAGAAAACGAATCCAGATCGGACCAATCTGATTCCTCGCCTGGATCTCAACTGTAAAATTCAAATTATCCAAAGTGACACAAAAGTGAAGAAAATGATGTTAAATGATCGAGTATGCGGGAATATTAATTTTGAAAATTCTGGAGGAAATTCTATTAAAAGAAAGGTAAAAGAATCTTTTAAAATGTTTGCCTTCGAAACTTCCCTTGGAATAATAATCGGTATAATTTACAGAAAACGGAGATATTTTTCGATGACAAACTATGAGAAATCAGAGACAACGGTTTTCCATTTTCCAACGATCGGTGTTCCCCTCGTCGCCGTCATGGGAGAGTCGTACCGGAGGCGACACTTCCGGGAGATCAGCTTGTCGCTGGGGGGAGTGGCGAAGCGTTGTTGGAGGAGAAGGGGAGGGAAAAGACGAAGGAAAAAGGGCAAAGACCGTGGCGGAAGAAAGAGGTGACCCGGATTTCTTTGCTTCTTTGCACCAGAGAAAAGCGTATCTCAAGGTGGCCCATCATTTTTCGTGAGGGGAGCTTTTGGCACCACGGTTGCCAACCCTCCCCCTCCTTTGTCCATTCCGAATGATCGATCGATCCGCCGGAACTTTTATCCTTTTATCCACGATGGAGGATGGAGGAAAACAAAAAGGAGAATGCACATAATAATCACTTCAATATTATTCTTATATACACGATATAATAGTATTTTTACTAATCTTTCAATTTCTCACAGGATCAATTTCTATGGCCCTACTTCGTCCACTTTACCTATGGAAAAAGAGTCTATCTGTTCAACTTAATTGAATTCACGCCCTACGAGTACAACGGGAGGAGCAATTAAAAGAGCGATAAAGTGGCCTTTTGGGGCAAGCATTGAAAAATGTTCATTTTCCTCGAAGAAGATCATCTTCGTTATCCGAGAGAGAGAGTGGCCACTTTCTTCGTAATAATAAAACGAATCAGAAGTCTGCTCTGACATCGGCCAATGTTAAATCCCGCGTATACGGAATTGGGGAACTGTTTTCGAAACTTTCGGCCGGCCGACGGAGTTGGAAGAAGTCGGTGTTCCGTTTCAAAGGCGTCGGCGATCGATTGACCTTCCCACTTTCCTCCACACTGGGCTGCGTTTTCGGCCTTACCTTGCACCTGCGGGAAGGCAAAGGGCAAACGAGATTGACAGATTGATAAATAGCTCAGAGAAACAAGAGTGATATTAATGAGTTATATTAATACGTAAGAAAGGTAAGGAATAAAATTAACGTATTTGATCGAATTTTTAATCGAAGTAGAGATTAATATATATATATAGATCTTTTAAATAAGTTATCGTTTCCGTCAATTCAGTTAAAAAAAAAAAAAAGAGTTATTTGAGTGCTACATATATTAACGACACCCTTTTCCAAAATTTCGTCCGTGTTAATTGTATTTTATCTTGTATCATCCCCCACCGATCCGCGAGAAGACATGTTGCAATTGAAAAGTTCGCAGCTCCATCGGTAAATTCGTAACGCGGAATGACGTCAGTGAGCGCGCGCAAATGCCCCTGTTTCGCGATCCGCAAACGTCGTTTTCCGCGATCCGTGCCACGGGGGCACCGCCATCGTAAAGCCATTTCGGGGATCTCGCGACATAAATTATAAAATCGACCGACGCCAGATCGTCTGTGCAATGGCCGGCATGTAGGACGCCGCAGAAGAATATTCCCTTCGTTTGTTCTTTCACATTATTCTGACCGTTGCTTTCAGATATTACATACGGATCTCGATCGATAACTACGGAATAAGCCTCATTTGGGGAAAAATTTGTCAAAACGATTTCCACGCATTTTTCTTTCCGTAAACGTAACGAGAAAGAGAATGGATATAGAAGATGAGAGTCGAAAGTAAGTAAATAATACGTTTGATAACTTCTGTTTAATAATTTTGTTTCGTTGCATTTTTTAGATCGTGCAAGGATGTAAAAGATGGAGTGAAAAATTGCAGAGGGAAAAAGAAGTTGAAAGAGAAGGATTAAAGATCCTTGGAAAGAAGGATGAGAGAGGTTAGGTGTAAAAGAGCAAAGTGGAAAAGACTGCCGGTGCAACAGATCGGTGAAATTCGGGCCACGAGGTTTATACAGTGTATATATACAATTTTCGATTTCCCACAGGAGGTCAGGCAAATTCATAACCCACTCTATCGGTAAGCAAGGGAGAAACACCGGGTCGCCGATAAATTCGGTGACGCAATGCGATCTCCGCCCTTTATTTTTGTTATTTTTAATCCATACATTTTTTTTTTCCTCTGTCCAATTATTAATATTCCATCCCTTGATGTGTATCTCGTGGTATTGTAAGAAAGATTTTACAATCTAGATAATTTGCATTATCTCTAAATTAAGAACTTATTTCAGATACAACAATCATCTCTTGCCACCACTGTGTACAATTGGACAAACGATCTCCTGTATCTCGTCACTCAAATATCCATACGATTAAACAAGGAAGAATATAAAACGACGTCAAGTGTTTCTACTAAAAAGGATTGACACGAGGTGATATATTCACCTATGGTAGATGAAACTATTGTAGATGAAAAAAAATCCATGGTCTCGTATTGAAAATGCACCGACGATCTGTGAATTTGGCAGAAATCCAGAACTACCGTCACCGAAAAGAAAGAAAGCCCGCGACACGGCCGATAATCATCGTAAACGTTGTTTGAAGTCGTTCCCTTTTGTTCCGAATTGGTTGACGAAACTTTTAGACAAACCGAATCGCGAAGGATTGACGTCAACAATTGATTGAATAGTGGTTTTCAACGTTTAACTGCTTATTGTTAGAGATGATTTACAGAGAAAAGATTTCTTTTTTTAAGATCAATTAATGGTAATTAATTTTCAGGTGTGTGTAAATTTTTGATGGAAAGAAAAAGATCTGTTTCATATCATGATCAATCATTCATCGTGGACCACGTTGACTCTATCCACGGTATACAGTTCGACGCGTACGCATTGTTCCATGGCTACATTTTGCTCGTAAATCGATCGAGTCTTTGGCAATGGAAAAACATAATGGAAATTGATGTGTTTCAAAGAGTTCTGATAAATTTGGATAAATTTGAATAAAGTGGAATAGGAAAATACTCCACTGGAAATATGTTTTCAATCTTTAATTAATATAAGGAAATATAAGATAGAAAAAAATTTTGAAAATTCTAAGTTTGAAACGATATTTTGGAAATTTTTGAAATAACTTCGAAGACTTGGAATGGAAAAGGAATTCTTGAAATTAACAAGAATTTCGGGCCTCCCTAATCTTCGATGACCCAAATATTTTCTCTTCTGATTGATGCAGAATTGCAGTAAGCTTTTCAGTCGTGCTTTTTCATCTACATTTCTTTCAAAAAAATTATCGTATAATGATAAAATAATGAATCATGATTGAGGAATTAAAAAAGAATCTACAATGATCAAAGGAAAAAACAAACTATAGAAGAGAAAGCAAACTTTAAAAATCTTTGTAAAATTTCCTTTGTTAAGTTTCTTAAGAATTGTATAAAAATTATTGGAAAAAATTGTCACGATAGTTTTCTGATTTCTGTTATGTTGTCCTGATTTATCTATCTAACGTACGCTTTTTAACATTGTCTCTCGAGGTTAGTCCACCGATTGATCCATGCTCTACTTCCACTTCTCTATTTCAACTTTACTTCGTTGAATTGGAGTACTTGATCGAAAAAGATGCTCTATGATTCTTACATATATCGATTGCGATTCTAGCACACCACATCTTCCTTGACCTTGTCCCCCAAGTTTCCACATCGTCGTTTTGTCGTTTGGCACAATCCACGTCTCTCTGTTCATCAATCAGTCGAACGTACTGGGGCGGTCCACTCGCCCAGAATTCGAAACCATCGATATGTATGTATGTAAATATTTTTCTTCATAAGTATTCCATCTATCTTGCCATACATATCATCGAATTCTCTATATTATTGTCACTATTCCAAATAACTGATATCGAGTGTTAAATCGTATAAGAAAAATATAGAAACAAAGAAAAATCAAGAAAATTAAAAACGAATCGCAAGTGTTGAAAACAGAAGAAAGAAAGAGGAAAAGGAAAAAGAGAAAAGCAGAGTTCGTTAGCGCACCACGCGACCGCAATGATGATCATTCCAAGAATAGACATCACCGATATTGTACGTATTAAAGAATGGATGATATTGCGTATTCTGAATCGTTACCGATAAAGATTTAATATCCTATGAAACGTGGCCGATCTTCGTTATCTGCGATGGCTAAGCAGGGTGGTTCCGTCCATCGCGTTTCTGGATCGTATCGCCCCGAGGATCGATCGTGGTCGGGTGCACACGCGCTGACCGGTTGCGGTACGCGTTCGGGCAACGCGTCCCGGACACGTTTCGCCAATTCCGAACAGAGAGAATCGCGATTAACGAGACGAGCGATATCGAGGCGAATCTTCCATCGAGGATTAATTCTTGTTCTCAGCTTGTTGCAATTTTACTTTTTAGTCCTCGTTTCCAATCTTGATCTTTCAAAGTAGCAAACGTCGTTCTAATCTACACATGCCTGATCGTCCTTGCCAATCGTGCGTAAGTATGCGACGAGACTCGCGCGCGCGCTGATCAGCATATATACCCGCGCACATAGGGTTTTCGAAACCCAGCCGTATGGTAGGCTGTCCGAATGGCAACTGAGACTCACCCTTTGTGGAGGCGCTGACTACCCCAACCCCGATACCGTTATCCCCTCCATCCATAGTTTCTCCCACCACTCAGTATCCTTCTAATCCCCGTGGCGCGGCGCTCGCGCTCTTACATTATTTCGACTCGCGATTCCTTCAGATTTCCTTCTCTTCGTAAGGTTAGAAACAAATTTTCTCTCTTCTTTCAGCTTCCCTTTATCGAAATGTTGTTTCAATTGGTTCGATTAAACGGAGAAAGTTTTTCGATTTTAATAAGTAATAAGTAATAAGTAAAAATTACGCAAAGAAAATTTAATTTGCAAAACGTGTAATAACCTTTTTGCACACTGTTTTTCGAAAAATAAAAACATCTAATTAGAATAGCTTTAATTAATTAACAAACAGGATTTTTCTTAATTTCAATTATAGCGTCACGAAGAGTTTAAATATTATTTCATTAAGGAGGATCTCATATTAGAATATAAAAAGAAACATTCATAATTTAAAACAAATTCTTAATCACAATGTTATAAATATTTAAAAATAAATTAAAAATAAATTAATAATTAAAAATAAATTTTGTCAAAGGGCAATTAAACGAATTCTGAAAATTCAATAAAAAACATTTTATACGGAAAGGATTAAAAAAATACGTTAAGGATACGTGACGAAGAAAATTGTCGTCGTATCACGTTTCGTGCCACGTGGATCACCGTTGACCCACATTTCTATTTTACGTCGCGAAGAACATTTACTTCCATCAAACAAACAACGAATGAAAACAATACGAAATTATACAAAATTATATATGAATTGAATATAGATCATAATATTACGATATTTTTATTCAAAATTAAATTTCAACATTATTAAATACTCAAAATACTTGTTATTTTATTACAGAATAGAGAATAGACTCGAGTGAGAATTTCCAACATTTCTCAGTAAATTTGGATTCATTGGGTTTATTGGATTAATGGAGATACAATGCATGTACGTGCGTGTACACGCGGCAAGAATTCGTGAGCGGAAAAGAGACAGGTTAGAGCCAGAGGCGTCTCGTTATCCGCGAATTTCCGGCCGAGCTGTTTACGGCTTCAACCAACGATCCTATAATTATTTAAACAATGTATAACCACAAAGTTGCTTGACTTTAAGTGTTACTTCCTCTAAACATATTGCATTAATGAAGTTTCCTTCCATATTCTATCTTAAAAGCGCGAGAACTTTTTTAATTGAAAATTTTTTCTCTTTATTTTCTATTAAAATAATGAATAATTAATAAAGTTAATGAAGAAAATATTTTTCACATAATAAGGAAGATGTGAGTTTCAAGAAATTTCAAGAAATGCTTAATTCTTCGAATTCTGGCTACCTGTATTGTTTAAATTTCGAAGAGACTCTCTATAAAGTATTAAAATATAGTAAAATGAAATGGAAAGATAAAGTATAACTTTTATATTAACTATTATACAAATATGTTTCTTTTTTTTGTTTTTTTTTTTTTGAATTAGAAATTATAATACTATGAATGAAAGAATATTTTTTATAGAAATAAAAATTATAAAAAATGATAAATTTATTGGCATGTTTTTAAAAAAAAAAAGAAAAAAACTTGAAAAGTGGAAAAAAATGAAAAAAGAATAAAGAAAAAAGAAGAGAGAGGGATAGAAGTTCGATCGAAGTTGTTGAAAAGAGGGCGCCACCTTACTGATAGTTTTATTTTCATTGGTTCTTGCGAAATGTACACTTGCTCTATCGTAATAGTGATCTACATTTATAAAACCTAGAATTAAAATAAAAAATAAAAGTAAATTAAAGCATAATTCGTAGCAATTATTCGATTAATATATACTATCTATTGAATCTATCTATTGTATTTATTTGAAAGTAAAATTCTTCTCAATTGGTCTCGAAAATAATATTTCATAAATGTTTGGAATAACAATTACTTTAAAATAAAATCACATTCAATGGAATACGTACTAATGGGAATTAATTTCTAAAATCAAATTTCGAGAATTCTATTTTTAAACGAATTTATATTTTAATATCTTTCGGAAAGATGAGATGATTCGATGATATTATATAAAAAAAGAGTGTGATAGCTTCTGATTTATATTTGCCTATATAGAATATTTACACAAGCGCATATGTACACTCTTTGATTCTCTAAGACACTAATTGCGAACCACGTCTGGCTGGCTCTCGAGGCACTAAATTAATTAATGGCATACCAAATGACGAGTCGTGCGAAGATTCGCTCGGCGAGCCCTCATTGCCTGAAAAAAGCAAAATAATACAGCATACGATCGTGCCACGAATATCAATGCTTCTTTCGTTGTCATCAAGAAGCAGAGTCTCATGCTCGTTAACTATATATCATCCTATCGTTTTTTAATTTCCCTCGTTCTTTTCTTTTTTTCTTTTACTTTGCCTTACTTTTTTCAATTTTTTTCAATTCTCTCTTTTACCATCAGAGTAAATTATATACGTTGCAATATCGTAGCTCACGGGTATATTTAATACGTGTATTTAATACTGTCATAATTGTATAAATAGTTCTAATAATACATGTCGTCTCCAAGAAGTCGTCTCTTCTATATTGAATCATAACTCGAAGAAAGATATCACCATTATTTCTCTACATCATAAAAATATTCAAGAATAGTAACAGTGAAATCAGCCAAGATATTTCATTTAATCCCATATTTTCTCGTAAAAATTTTATGAAACAGCATTGTGATCCATAATCCGCTCGAGGTATTATGAGGTAATCGAGAAAAAAAACATTAACTTGTATTTATCTTTCTTTGTCAACAATTCAACTCGCGTTTGATCGTAGTTCGCAAGAATCGAATGAATTCGCGAAGAAGTTGAAAAAAAAAAAAGTTGTATGAAATTAATTACGCAATTTTTTGCCACTTATGTATGGATGAAATAGATGAATCTCGAAGATTCGATTGGCCAATGGCCAAATGTACTTTTATATACGCTTTACTACGCAACATAAGTAAAGTTAACGAAAAAGTTCACGATTGATTTATTATCGTTTAATATCGATACACGAAAACATTGATTTGTTCTAGTATTTTATTATAGTATTTTATCCTAGTTGATATATTAAGAGAAAAAGATTAAATAATAACGTTAAAAATAAAGTAAAATACATGTATTTGAATATGAAAATATGAAAATTATAATAAATTTGCAGTCTTGCGTATTTGAAGAATATAGACGATGAAAAACTTGATAAAATTGTAATTAGATTATGTACAAAAAGAGAAATTATATATATTAAAATTAAAATTATATAAAAAGAATTTAGGATACATAAAAGATGTTGAAATAATAGTTTTTCCTTTTGATAAAAATTTTGTAAAAATCTTTTATATTAAAGATTTATTAGATTTTACATACATTAATACGAAACGCAATGCGGAAGAATAAATAGTCACGCATGTACATGCACGCAAAACGGAAGCTCCTGCGCTGCGATATACGAGTAACCTTGATCCACTTTTTACTCCTAAATATGTATATTGCTGTTTCTTTCGATATAAAGAAGTCATGTAGAAGAACTAATAGCAATTTTTATAACATTCAACGAGATATCATAATTTGAAATTGATAATCTTAAATTATTAATAAATAATATCTTTTGACATAACTTTTGCCATATTTTCTTGAAATAAATAAATTTTCAATATGAATGTATATAAATCAACAAAATTTTTATTATAACAAAATTTAATAATTATTCTTGAATAAACGATATTTTATTTACAAATTACATAAACACACTAAATTATCAAGCATTCTCAATCTTTGGTTTTCTTCTCTGGAGATTCATCTTCTTCTAAAAGTGCACTTGTTATACCTGCTTTCTTTAATTCAGCTATCAGCTCACCATTTCTGTGCATTTCTAAAAGTATATCACATCCACCTACGAATTCTCCATTTATAAACACTTGAGGTATTGTGGGCCAGTTGGAAAAATCCTTAATACCTAAACAAAAATATATAAATAGTCATTTATTAGAGAAATTTAATTAAATTATGTTCAAAGTTTAGTTCTAAAAAATACAGTAACTTGCACTTTAAAGATTATTAACCTTGTCTGAGTTGTTCATCTTCAAGAACGTTATGAGCATCATACTTAACATTATGCATTCTCAATATTTGTACAACAGCATTGCTAAAGCCACATTTAGGGCTGTCTGGAACACCTTTCATGAACACAACAACTTTGTTTTTCTGTAAATCATAGTTGACATTCATTTATAATCATTCAACACTTTGTGGAATCACCAACATCATATGTGTTTCTGATAACAGCACTTTCGATATACCATTTCTAAGAATATTTATATTGTATAATTTAACACAGATAAATTACGAAGATAATATACGAATAAAAGATAAATAAATGATAAAATTATAATGAATTTCATTTATTTAAAAGAAAAGTTATCAAAATATATATACATATATGTACCTTAACGAGGTTAGCGATTTTATTAGAACTCGTTGAAAAACTTCTAACAATAAAACTCCTAAAAGGCATCATTTCTTGCCTATAATTATTTAAAATTTAATAATCAAAACTTTTAATTTTTTGAATTTTTTTATAAAAAAACACAACAGGTTACCCGGTCAACAGATTAATGGATTACGCCATATTAGTTTTCCCTTTCTACTTATAAGAACTAGTATCACCCTCTATAGACAAATCGAAAAAACATATTGAAAAATAAGATAATTTTAATTAATAAAGATATTTATAATATTTAGGACCAATTATATAAATATCAATTTCATATAATTATAGAGTAATTAATTTACATAGTTTTAAAGATAAGTTAGGTAGCTTTGTGATCGATGCGATTATTACGTTTTTTTTAATAGTTGTTCACATCCGCTAGATGTCATCATTTCCTAAATTTTTTGCCATTTTTAATATTATAT